TGTCTATGCTCAGAAATTTCTCAATTATGACTTAGTTAAGATGCTCGGATCATGTTCAGGATCAGTAGTCAGTATACTCAGGATTTAATGTCAGTATTTTCCAGTCATGTTTAGCAACTCATCAAGAAATTTGTGCGCTTTATTGATCAGCTTCATTGATGTCATCAGTAAGGATTCTCGAATCAGAATACAAAACCTTAGAAAGAGGCTAAATTTATGAACTCTAGATTAAATTCTAGATTTATTCAAGTCGAGTTTACGACTCGTCAAGAGATTTGTAAGCACTTATGTTATACAAATCTTAACAATCATGTTCCTAAGATCATTTTCTATCGAAAATTGTCAATTTTGTCAACTAATTAGAAAATTTCAGGGAGGAATTCCTTGATTCAACTCAAGGAATAGACTCAAATTTCTTAAGTCAGGTCAGTAAACTATATTCAAGGCGAAGATTTTCATACTAAAGGTTGTTATAATTTTCAAGTCATTGTCAAGGTAACGGTTTCCAGTGTATAAGAGTCAATAATCCGGGTTACCTTGGAGGCTTGAAATAAGAGCCACTCAGCCGGGTATACCATGGAGGCATGAAGCTGAGACCGGAGCAGTATGATTTTATATAATCACAACCTTTAAAGTCAGTCATGTCATGTAATTTGTCAGTCATGATACTTCAAGTTAAGGTTTTCAAAGATCAAAGATCAGTTATTTCTTCGGTAATTGTGGGACCAGTTGATACTGGAGCAGCCCTATATAGTACATAGTCATGAGTTAATGTTTATGATTTAAGGTCAATGTTCATGATTTAAGGTCAATGTTCATAAATTAAGGTCGACGTATAATAGTTGTTCAGCTGGGTTAAATGTGGAGGTCTGATATACAGACCATTAGTCCAAATTTACCTGGAAACTTGAAGTCGCACCTTATCAAGTCAAGTAAATCAGTAAATGTCATGTTTCCAATTTCGAAGCGACTATTTAGTTGTCTCGGGATAGCTTTCAGAGTTCAGGCAAAGATGATTCAGTCATGTAAAAAGTCAAGTCATGATTATCCAGTTATGAGAATATTCAGGCTAGTTATGCCAAAGTCAAAGACAGTCTGTCTAATAAAACAAGACGTATCAGTCATTTCAAGTATATCTAATGCCTCGATTCTCAAGTTTAGAAAATTTGAGAAATTGCAGGAAAGATTAGTTCATGATAGACTTTTCTTGAGGTTAAGTTTAACGTCAGGGTAGGTAAACAGTTGTAGGTACAACATGTCGTCATACGACACGACGAAGAAGGGCTAATCAACAACAACAGACCATGCCAACTGAATCTTTTCATTCAAGGACGCATGATGCAAGAAAAGAAGGATGCTATGCCTGAGTTACAGTACACATGAGATTACAGAGAGTTAGCATTATAGTACATTGAGGTTACTAGCTTAAGATACAGATACGATCAGTATACAGACTACGTCGACAACACAGGTGCAATGTCGCCAGGTGCTGTATGCAGGCATGCCACACTCACTTGATGAGGAGCAGGTGTGCCGCAATACAATGTGCCACGAACGGTGTGCCGCGTTATCAATTAGACGTTCATGAAAGGTAACTACCGAGATTGCTAGTAGACCTCATTTGTACATATGCGTATCTCTGAAATTTTCCGTCTGTACCAATGACTTGGGTTCCACAACTAACGTTCAGACTGATGATCAGCAATCAGCCAAGAGATAATGACCAGTACGCTCAAGAAGTATGCTTTTAATATCATGTATAATAAGTGGAACACTTTATTTCAGGAAAGTGTCCATTCTCAATCAGCAGTATCTAACAATTCACTTAATTCTAAAGTGATGACTCCTCAGTTTAGATCAAGTCCATTATTCAGTATTAAGGTACTGAATTCTCAAGTCATGTAATCAGTAAGTATAAACTTTATGTTAAGCTTGTACATCCAGTTTTAGTATTTTCGAGGACGAAAATATTTTAACGATGGTGGATTGTAATACCCCGAGTTTTATTAATAAAGGAAAATACTAGCTTTTAATGTTAAGCTAGCATTTGTTAATGAATAATCATATTCATGTTCAAGTTCAGGGTAATCAACTAGTTATATTCCAAGTTCGACTATTAGTCGATATATTATTCGGTTTAATTATTTCAGTAACCGGATAAGTTTCAGAATTTAATTCCGATTCGTTTCTTTTATTAATGAGTTTTCAGAATTAATAAGTTAAGTTGACGAATTATTCGAAATATCAATATTCGGATAGATCGTCCAATTCAGGAATATCCCGTCATATTAAGGAAATAAATCATGTGTTTAGTTCCGATATAATAATGTTATCGATTATTATTTTTCAGAATTAATTATTTCAGTCGAGATTATCCGAAATTATTTTTGAAGTCACGTTTGTGTTCGGAATAATTGTGCTAATTAAGTATCATGCTTAGCAATTAATTAAGCATATAGATTATGCTTAATTAGTAATTAATTAAGATTATCATATTCGAATATTTAAAATGCCGTAGCAATTGAGGAATTGTGCTTAATTAATATCATAAGCATGATTAAGCCACTAATGGGCCGTACTCATTTCAAGCAAAGGTTAAAGAAAATTCATGTGGAAAAATCTATTGTTTCCTAAGCATGTTAAGTGGGCTTCATGAAAGGTTAATCATGCCAAGCTATATCCTAATTGCCGTTAGCAATGTTGGGAAAATTCATGAGAATTTATCATGTCTTAAACATGAGGTGTCACCTAAACTTGTGACTAAGCTCCTTAATTGATGACTAAGCTAAATTTTGCTCAAGTTAAACAGCAAGCTTGGCAAGTGGAGAAGCATGAGTGGACCGAAATGCCTTCCAAATTCTTTCATCTCATCCTTAATATATATATGGCCGAAATGTTTGGAAAAAATGAATCCAACACTTGAGCTATATATATATATATATATATATATATATATATATATATATATATTCATAAGAGTTAGATATATTCAGCATATTTTCCACTCTTAAGCTAAGTTAAGTAGAGAGAAGTGAGGGATTAAGGGTACTCTTGCAAGTCACACGCACGGAGGCACCGAGCGCCGAGCGATCACGAGCAACGTTCACGACCAGCCAAGACTTCAAGGAGGTAACTTCATTTTCATCATTTTTCCAAGCTAATAAGATCATTTTAGGATAGCATGTTCAACTCATAGCCTTTGATTTATGAGTTAGGCTCGGTTTATGCCTCTTGAGCCATGATCAAGTTATATTCGTTTTTA